TTATATATATATATATATATATATATATATATATATATAACGTTATAACTTTATATTCTTTATTTACACAACAAAAAGTACACTCAGGGACTTTTGTATGGTAAAAGATCTACCTGTATGTGGATTAATTTTTCTCTAACATGTGGTCTCTAAGATCAAAACATTCTTACTAGTAATGTATTTTCCTATTTGAACACTATATTGGTTATATATATAATTGGTTTGTTTCTGAACTGTCTGTTAGCAGCACCGGGAGCTGAGGAGGGCCTGATACACATCCGCAACATGGAGGCACAAGACATCGACTTGGTCGCTCCAATACTCGTAGAGGCTTTTCACGATAAAGTTGAACACGTCGTTGGAAAGAGCGGGTAAGATTTCTCTTCTTTGTGTGTTTGTGTGTCACAGTGTGTGTGTGTGTGTGTGTGTGTGTGTGTGTGTGTGTGTGTGTCACAGTGTGTGTGTGTGTGTGTGTGTGTGTGTGTGTGTGGAGGTGTGTGTGTGTATGTATGTGCGTGTGTGTGTGTGTGTGTATGTATGTGCGTGTGTGTGTGTGTTTGTGTGACAGTGTGTGTCTTTGTGTGTGTCTTTGTGTGTACATATATGTATGTACATGTATGTATGTCTGTGTGTGTCCGTTTGTGTGTTGACAGTGGCTAAAATTGAATAGTCCCACATGGGTTTTGTGGTTTTAAAGGATTACAGGAGTGTTTCTTTGTTTGTTTGTTGATATTTGTCTCTGTACACACCATGCTGTAGAATGGAGGACATGGCCCGTTTAACTGCCAGCGCCCTCACCAGGTCCCCGTACAGTTGGCACAGGTATTACGTGGCCATGTACGATGGCAAGCTAGCGGGCATACTGGTCATCAAATTCCATGACAGGTCAGTTTGTGGTCCAGCTTCTCCGGGATTGAGTTTTATTCCAACATTTAACACAAGACATGGTGACTGCGCTTTTAAGTTTTTATCAACTTATTTTTGTGTCGCCACCCACGCGACATTAGGCAGAGGACAATAAAAAAGACAATACTCGTTTTAACTTGAGTTAAGTGAGGAAAGTTGTGTAAAGTGTCTTTCCCAAGGGCACAACATCAGTGGCATGGCAGGATTAGAACCCGTGACCTCTTGGTTCTGAGCCAAAGATTCTGACTCACTGTTTCCTTATCTTTTGCAGCACTCCCGAAGATTTTGGAACTTGTGACGCGTGTTCACATATCGGGTGCTGGGGTTCATGTCGGTAAGGATTTTCATCACATCGCGGTTTACAAATATTGAATGACAGCCCTTTATTGTACGTTTGTGCTCTAACAAGCTAAGTACAGGTCATGAATAAATGGAAAAAAAGAATACAGCAATAATACTTAAACTATACATACTCGAAATTAAAGGTGGTCCAATATATTAATGACAGACTGACAACATCAATAATCAACACCAGAATGTCAGCCCTTCTTTTGTTTATCAGGCACACGTCCCGGCTTTCGGATCCATAAAAGTCCCCCCAAATTTCCTGTCTACTCTGCAATATACTATATTTATAGTATATAGTTGGGACAATGGAAAAATTATAAAACATCAGAACGTCAGCCCTTATTTTGTCAGCCCTTATTCAGGCACATGTTCCAGCTTTTGGATCCAGAAAAGTCCCCCTGAATTTCTGGTCTACTCTGCAATTAAAGTGCGCCTGGGAGTGAACATAAGCAAAATAAAGCTGACTTTAAGTTCAAGTCATACAATACAATGTACTTCCCTAAAAACAGGTTGGGACAGTTCATCCTCACTTCGGGACAATGAAAATTTATTTTTGGGACTAGTGCTGGGACAATAGGAACAAGACTGGCAATGAAAACATACATTGCCATGGCGACGGTGGTTGCTCTTAGGGTTATTGTTTGCATGGCACTGCCATCATTTCATGATTTTGAGGCAGACTTGGTACCTCTTAAGTCTAGACAGATACAGTACACTCCTCCCCTTAGTGTATAGTGAACGAGCCCCGGGGTCACATAAAGTAGGGCCATCTGGGGCAGACAGGTCTTCAGGGTTCCAGGAATGTGGGCATGGATGTGGGTCAGAGACATGCCTGTGGACATTCCGCATACCTGTGGACAAAATGCCTGTACAATTCCTAGAATTCTTGCAAACTGCACACAATACTGTACCATTAGGCTCCTCCCTGAGACGTCACCAAAAAAGTTAATTTCGAGGCCTGAATACTGATGACTGCCTGTATTGCAGAATGATGTTGCTGGGCTTGGCTTTGACGAACTCTCAGATCGGCGCGACGCAGTGCTACGTGGACACCGTGGGAGTGGACGCAGCGTTCCGAGGGAAGGGCATCGGCACGGCGCTACTGGACAGGGCCGACGCTGAGGCAAGGCAGCGCGGATGCACGGTAGGCAGGCACTTAATCACTCACTCAGACTCACTCACTCATGCACTCTCTCACTCACTCACACACATACTGTCTTACTCATTCACACACTCACACACACACACACACACACGCATTCGCTCACCCACTCACTCACTCAGTTACTCACACGCACACTCTCGCTCACTCACCCACTCTCACTCACACACACTCACTCAGTCATGTAGGCGCTCACTCACTCATTCATTCACCCACCCACAAACTCACACACACACTCATTCTCACTCAGTCATGTAGGCACTCATTCACCCACTCACACTGTCACACGACCACTCACACACTTGCTCACTCACTCATTGCTACTGGACTGGGCCTAAGTGGTTTTTCCTAAGTGCCAGCTTCCAGGAAGTCTATATTTCCCACTGTCTTGGTTACAAGGCATCCAGTTGAATGTAACTGATTATTCAGATCTGCCCTTCAAACGTTTGTTATTTTCCTGCCGTTACAGACCACGTTCCTGTGGGTGACGCAGCATAACCGGGCGGTCCGGCTGTACGAGCGACACGGTTACGTCGTCACACATCCTTTCGGCAACTGCTTCACGCAGTGCGCTGTGGGAACTAGAGTGAGTCCGGTTACTGTACCTCTCTTTCTCTCTCTCTCTCTCTCTCTCTCTCTCTCTCACCCCCTCTCTCCCTGTCTTTCTCCCTCTCTTCCTCTCTCTCCCTCTCTCTCCCTTTCTTTCTCTCTCCCTTTCTCTCTCCCTTTCTCCGTGTGTCTGTGTGTGTGTGAGTGTGTGTGTGTGTGAGTGTGAGTGTGTGTGTGTGTGCGCGTGTGTGAGTGTGTATGTGAGTGTGAGTGTGTGTGTGTGTGCGCGTGTGTGAGTGTGTATTTGTGTCACTGTGTATGTGTGTGTGTGTGTGTGAGTGTGTGTGTGTGTCCGTGTGTGTGTGTGTGTGTGTGTGTGTGTGTGTGTATGTGAGTGTTTGTGTGTGTGTGTGTTTCTGTGTGCATGTGTGCTTGCATTTATGTGTGTTATGTTGTATATTAGTTATGAATGATGAGCCAAAACAGCCTGGGAGGCAGCAAAAATTTCCCAATTAACTTTTTTGTCTGTCCAAACTACAGGACTGGTACAACATGGAGAAACAACTGTAACGCCCAGGTCATGACGTCACATCTCTCAGCAACAACATCTCTGAGGTTTTTTTTTTTTATTCCAACATCAAATCACAAGACGTGATAACGGCACACTCAAGTTTTTTCAACTTTTATTAATGCCACCACCAACACAGAGGACAACAACACAATACTCATTTTCACCTGAGCGAAGTGAGGAAAGTCGTGTGAAGTGCCTTACCCAGGGGCACAAGATCAGTGGCATGTCAGGACTCGAACCCAGGACCTCTCGATTCCAAGTCGAGCACTCTGTCGCTACGCCACACTACCCAAGTTTCCGTATGGTTACAGAGATGTGATGGTCCCAATTGTGACACTGGAAGCTGGAAGATTATACTATTTCTTCTTTCTTTGATCTCCCATGTACCTTAAGACCAGCTTGTGTGCTTCAAGATTCTCAATGTTAAAGTTCCTGTTCCAACATTATTATGCTTTATTCGTGACACCAAAAAGGAAATCTTACAGCAGGAATAAAACTCCCTAAATCATAAAAGAGTTTGCGTACAAAATTACAACGGACAAGACAGGTAATATATACATCCCTCATGATATATTATATGATATATTATTTTGTACCAATCAAATATGATTTATTCTTTCATTTTTTATAATCATACAGATTATGTTCAACTATTTTACCATCTGTTTTGTACATATTTTATATATTGTTGACTTTGGAGCATTTTTTAATGTTGTGTCATTCTTCATGTAACATAAAGTTGTCTTTGTAGAAGTAGATGAAGATTATACTACTAGTAATTGTTAAGAATTAATTCCCTGTACTTTTTCTGCATGTGTCAATAAAGTATTTACTCTGTACATTGCTCTTGTAGTTTTTTATCAAGGCCTAGGGACACAGTCTATACCTGATAGCCACAGAAAAGAGAAACTGCCATGTATTGAAATGTATTGAAGTCATACTTGTGACTGTAAATAAGGCCACAACAAGTAATATTTATGGATGACATCAACGCACGCATTAATTTTCGCCTGATTTTGGAAAAGAAAACAAGAAATTTTGTTGCCTTCTGACAGTGGTCAATATGCCGAAAATGGGCAAAGATGCCTGTTGCCATGCCGGAAGGTGGATGGCAGATAGCTATAACGAGAGGAGACAAGAAAAGGCTCTGATTTAATGTTTTGTTTCTTACTTTGATGCAGTGGTATGTGATGCTGGCTATATAAATGCGATATACATTGTATTACCTGGGAAAAAGTGTATAAAAGATACTCTCCAAGCAGAGGTAGGGTCGCTCGGTATTTTGGCAGTATTTTCGCGTTAAGGGGAGGAAGACCAGAGAAAAACCGTAAAAGTAGAAAGACGTATTAAAAACGACGAAAATACTGCCAAAATACCGAGCGACCCTACCTCTGCTTGGAGAGTATTGGGAAAGGCACTTTACGTGACTTTTCTCACTTCACTCAGGTGGAAATGAGTAGGGACGTCCACCGGATAGGACGTTAATATAAATGAAGGTCCCGTGTTTGGGACAGCCACACCCCACGCACGTTAAAGAACCCACCACACAAAGAGTAGGGGACCTTCCCGGTGTGAGTGGTTCAAACCTTACAGTATGGTATCAGGTTTGACATCTTGAAGAGGTGATAGTCACCTGTTATGTCAATCCTTCCACAAATGTGGTAAATCTTCATTAAAACTAGAAAAATAATTTGCTTTGCAAATGCATATTGTTTACCTTCGCATATGGTCTGCTCTGTTAATTCTTACTCAAACACATTGATATACATGTATATGGTGACAGGAGTCTAAATCCCTCCTGCTATAAAATTGCAACATGATGTAACCCAACACCAGTTACCATGGTGAGAGACAGTCTGGTCATTGATCAGGTCAGAGGTCAGTGTTTGGAACGGAAGAAGAAGAAACGTAGCAAAAACAATATGTTTTCCTTCGGTAAACATAAAAAGATGCAAGGCGAGCACTCATCCCACTTGACCATTTCGCCGGTTCTACGTATTCTAGAAAGAAGACCAAAAATGTTCTAAAAACTAAGCCGGGTCGCCACATCTGCTTGGATATTTTTTACGGAATCTTTACGCCGCGTAACGATGATGAAATATTGACCCTAATTAGCGATTAATTTCTTCCAAAAATAAAATCGAAATTTATCCCGAAATCGATTTACAATTTTTGTTTCATTCCATCCATCCGTTTTTCCGTTTTTTGGATAAGGCCACAGCAAGTAATTTTTATAGATGACATCAGGACGTGCATTAATTTTCGCCTGATTTTGGAAAAAAAAACAAGAAATTTTGTTGCCTTCTGACAGTGGTCACGATGCCGAAAATGGGCAAAGATGTCTGTCGCCATGCCGGAAGGTGGATGGCAGATAACTATGAAGAGGAGACAAGAAAAGGCTCTGATTTAATGTTTTGTTTCTTACTTTGATACAGTGATATGTGATGCTGGCTGTGTATATGTGATGTTCCCACTGAATAAAAACCATTTGTACAATGATTGAGCGAAAATTTGTAGGAACCTTGTTTTTTTCGGTCCGCCTTGTTTTCTTTTTCGCCCGCTCGCATTAGATTTGGAGTCTGCGGGAGATGTACATGTTATCCATAAAATTTACTTGCTGTGGCCTGAGGAAATTACCAATATCTAGGTTTCACCAGAGGTTATTGGTTCGATTCCCAACAGGAGACCGAACGTTTGCTTACTTAAGGTAATTTCAATTCCCACGGTAGTGATTACGACAATCATTGAAAATCGACCTGTTGTTCTAAATGGGCGGCTGACAGTGTTAATTTCAAAATTGAAAAAGGACGTTAACCACGCCTAGTGCCATGCCCGTAGCCAGGGGGGGTTCGGAAGAACACCCCCACACACACACACACAAGGCTCAAAGGTCCACTTTTTGGTCCACTTTTTATGTAAAGGTCCACTTTTTGGTCCACATTTTATGTAAAGGTCCACTTTTTGGTCCACATTTTATGTAAAGGTCCAAGATTTTTCTTGAAAAGATTGTCTGGAATCGTAAAAAAACTGCTCCCTTTGTCATTGAATGAAAATTTATCTCTGATTTTTTCTTGGAAATCCTCTCAAAAATGCACGAAATGCCATTTTAGAAGGTTCATTTTTCCAAATTTCCCGGGGGAGCATGCCCCCGGACCCCCTAGGAACCTCGCGCCTTCCGCGCTCGTTGGTCCCTCAAGCAGTGGGAAGAACCCGCCCATTCAAAATCCTGGCTACGGGAAAAAAAAGTCGAAGTCCTTTGTACACTATTTATAGTGCATAGTAGTCTCTACCAGACTAACTACGCTGGCTATATAAAGGACAATATTTGCCAGGGGAGTTTGGCCGCCTTGTAGGTTTGACTGGCCGCGCAGGAGGGAAAGAAACTACCTCCCCGCGGCCGGACTCCCTTGGCCAATTTTACTCTCTTTTTGGCCGAATTCTACGATCCGTATTCCCGTAGAAAGGCCTGGTGGGGGCTAGCTTGGTGCATAGGGCGGCGCCCATCTCCGTTTCTGAAACCCTGGGCCACACAGCTTTGTGAAATCACTAAAGCAAAGGGCTTAGTCCACTAGTACTAGTAGCGGTTACTCTCCAAGCAGAGGTTGGTGGGGGAAATTGTGACCTTTCTAATACTTTGTAATTCCTGATTCCTTATTAGTTCCTAAGTAATTCCTAATTTGTAATTCCTGATTTTTTCACTGTACTTTTATGTTCACTGTTTTCACTGTTCATTTCTGTACCGTGAACTTATCATTACTGTTAACAAATAATTCCTGGACTTTCTTTTTCCTACACCTGTCGCCACCGTGAATATATAGTTCTGTGAACATGTCCATTTTTCTCAGACCGTGAACTTTTGCTACCGCGAACATAAAGTGAATTACATGCAATCTTCCCCCACCAACCTCTGCTTGGAGAGTAAGTAGTGGTGTGTGTTCAACCCCAAACGCTTTCACTCTTTCTGTATGTAACAAAATGTTGAAGATAAGAAATGAGGTAATATTTTTCTGAAACCTTCTGACGAACGGTACATAAATCGATCGTAAGAAAGACGCCCCCCCCTCCACGTATAAAATTTGTGTCATCCATTTGTGCTAACAAACCCTCACACCACTTAATAACTAATTACTGTGTCATTAACCTACATGTGCCACGATCTGAACACTCTCACAATACATCATCAAACGATTCACTAGCTGTAATTCAACCAGGTCGGCTATGTTGTCTATATGCAATCAGAAAATATATAAAAGCTCCCAAAGACCATGAAGACTCTCAGTTTTTGGCATGCTATGGAGGCTATAAAATTTGCCGATCTGAAACTTGAAGCCTTTAGTGGACCAACTCTCCAAGTAATAAAGAACGCGTACCATTTTATGCGTTTCTCATATTCTACAACGGTATCCACACAATATATTGTCGCTTTATTAAGATCGTAATTATACCTTTTACAAGCGCATATATCTTTGACGAATAAAGTAAAATCAATATAAAGACATCTCTACAGTATTTTTACATATTGTCAGGAATTTACAACTATGAAATCTCGAATAACACATTGTAAAAAAATTAAGTGCTTTGATGTTGAGGAGAAAATAGCGAGATTATAACATAATGGGGCCCTTTAAATGCAAAGTGTTTTTCTGTTCGTGATTTATATTTAATGGCGAAACATTTTAATCATCGATCAGCCAATTATGCTTGTCCAAGGCTTTTTAAGTAGTATCAGATTTTGTCTAAACAGTCGAATCTTATATTACGTAATTATAGGTTAGTCGAGTTTATTCTACGTGTTTTCGTGAGTCCGATAGTACACACTCGAATCAACGACAAATAATTTAAAACGGTAGCATTTTATCTACAATGTATCTGTATCTGTATAGCCGGTATAACCGCCCTTCGGCGTAACACACCAGCTTCTGTATGTATCTGTATAGCTGGTATAACTGCCCTTCGGCGTAACACACCAGCTTCGCAGTCACGCGGCGCGGCGGCAGCTGGCTACATTACACCGAACGACTTGTTACACTCAATCTTTGCAATTTAATTGCAGGAGTTGCAGGTGTCTTTTTAAAGCGATTGAAAAAAATCCTAGTGTTCACAGTTTCTAACCACTATACAGAAGATAGTAATATTTTACTCACCTAGCAAGCAGACCGCCAGCACCAATGCAGTCACAGCGATATTGCGGGAAACCATCCTTACAAACTAGTAATGCTATCTTCTTCAAGCTAGGGCAGTCGTTTCGCAAGCTTCGGGAAGACTGAATTTGTAGGTCGAGCGCACACTGGTAATATATGACGTACTCGAGATATGTCGGAAGGCCATGTTGATTTGATTATATGGATGACATCCTCTTGGAACTCCAAAACTGATGCGAGCGTGCGAATAAAAAAAAAGTTAAGCAAAAAAAAAGTTGCTTTCATTATGAAATCTACGTGGTCATTTAGGCTGAACAAATGACACAGAGGATGGTATGGCGAATAATCTACTCTTCAAATTCATTTCTTCATGACATTTTCGTCTTTTTGGTTTGATTTTGGCATTTCTACGACATTGGTATCATTTTTAAATATCTTTTTTTTTGCAAATTAAGGTATATATTTGCTTATTTCACAACTGTTTTGTACGATTTACAGTATGGTTGAAAACGTTTCCTTTTTTGGAATCGGCCGAAAATTCATGCGCGCGCGGATATCATCCATATAATCAAATCAACATGGCCTTAGTATCTGTTTTACGGTATATATTTGTTCATTTTGCAACTGTTTTGTACGATTTACAGTATGGTTGAAAACATTTTCTTTTTGGAATCGGCCGAAAATTCATGCGCGCGCGGATGTCATCCATATAATCAAATCAACATGGCCTAACGAATGAACCTTCTTACAGCTGATTGGTCCGCGAAGTGCTCACGTGACTACACAGCGAACCGACATTGCCTCTTCTCACTAATACATTGTCAATAGATTTTTTTACCCAATTAATCGATTCAGAAACTCCACTTAAACGAGCGTTCGTGGTCGATAGGTAGTATTGTGCTCAACTTGATTTGATTGAAAGGCTCGTAGCATTTGTGCATCGTTACACAAAGTACGGTATTTGCCAATTAAGCATGTTATTGCTTATTTTATGGAGGTTTTGAAGAATTGGGTCTGTTATAATGAAATATATAATGGTCCAGGGAATCTTATGAATAGTGAACGGATGAATTCGAAAAAAACTAGAGGTATAGGATGTTGAAAAATTGCTCCTAGGATGTTAAAAGGAAACTAGAGAAGGCAAATGCATAATGTTTACCTTTGGACATGGTCTGCTCTGTTAATTCTTACTCAAACACATTCACATACATGTACTACTAGTATATGGTGACAGGAGCAGAGCAGACCATTAAATTGCAACATTATGTAACCCAACACCAGTCACCATGGTGACAGACGTCAACAAATCATGTCATTGGTCAGGTCAGAGGTCACTGTTTGGAGAAGAAGAAGAGGAAGAAACTGAGCAAAAACAATATGTTTTCCTTCGGTAAACATATCAAACCTACTAACATTCATCTACAAGTAGTTATATTCCAGTGTCACAATAGATGAACTTATTTAATTGATTGAATATATAATAAAAACATCAAGTATGTCAACAAAAACACACTTTTAATTTCCAGTCCTTATTTTCACATCACAGAATGCAGTACAACAAGAAATAACGCCATAGAAAAACAATCGAATTAAGAGTACAAGATGGGCGATTATATAAATGCATTTTCCTGAAATCGGGTTGAGGTAAAATTCACGGTCCCAAAGGTGATATAAGTAATCAAGTAATTAATGTTGTTTCCCCTTGATATTTCATCACATCTGTTGTTTAAATGAGCCTATCCATGTTTACTAGACCTTTATTGATAACAACAAAAGTACAGCGACTTTCGTAAGGTCTAAAACTGCATGTAGATATACAGACAAATATACATGGGTACAACGAAATTATCCTACGTACAAAACAATAGATGGGTCAACTAATACTACTTGTTCTAAGGTCTAAACCTTGATATATTTACCTATTTGTACACAGTAAGGGTTATTGCCTTCTAGCATGAAATTAAATTTATCTATAGCATGCATGTAATAATTTCTGTTGAGCAAGCGGAGAGAAGGTTGAACAGCTTTGTGCGTTTATCATTATATAGTGGACAATCTAAAATAAAATGTTGTTCGTCTTCAATACCATTGGGACAGAATGGACAAAACCTCTGGTCGCGAGTGATTTTCTTTATATCTTCCTAATTCTATATTCAATTTATGGCTAGAAATTCTCATCTTTGTAATTTATCTACGAACTTCAAAATTATGTATTTCAGAAAGGTAATTTTCTTGCTATAATTATATTCTTTATCTATAATGAAGGAGGTAGACTGTGTACTGTGGCAAAATGTGGTATATATTTTGCTCTCCAAGCAAACGTTTTAGGCTTGTTTTGGACATTTTAAACGTGTTTTGTTAGGTTTCCTAATTTGTCAGCTTTCCATTTTAGACAAAACGCCTGAAAAGCGTCCAAAACATCTGCTTGGAGAATGGTATATTCGTGATCTCGGTTAGCCTGGTATCCAGTCTTACGTGATTGGGGGTGTTGGGGTGTTCAGGCAGGCTGTGTCTTCGGGGGCTCTAGTAGCTTCCCCCGCCGAGTGCAACAGACCGTCCCGGTAGGAGAGTTACGCTAATAAAAGACAGTATGCTCGGGGATTTGGTTTGGGGGAAGGCTGATCAATCTCTCGTGAAATACACACCGGGAAACCTATGTGAGGCGGGCGGGACAGAGCTCTTACGGCCCCGACCACGATCAGACTGGATACCAGGCTAGATCTCGGTAGACCACACACAAAATTTCACCACGTGCACGCACCCCTGTGTTTTCCGGAAATAACACTTTCTCACAGACACCGGGAGGCCTTCTGTTTTCACACCAATCCATCGGGCCACGTGGGATTTTCGCGCCATTTCGTCAATAGAGAGAGAGAGAGATTGCAAATCAACTTGTTGACAACCTATTTAAAACGTCACAACCAGGAGAAATACATTGCCTGTCGACTTGGAAAACATGACATATTAACAAAGAGATCACATATTTCAAAGACATTGAGCCAAACGTATCATCTGTAACATGAATGTGTCAGAACAAGGAGGTTATAGGGTCAGAATAAGTCGCAATATTATATCTAGTTGAACTGCTTTCTATGTCTTCATAATCAGATAGCTATCCAAGAAATGGAACGTTCCATCTTCATTTGAAGGGGTCATCACTCTTTTCCAAAAGTCACTATTAATAACAATTAACACAAGGAAGACTATTTCTGAAAACTAATACTTTATTATTAATATTTTAAGGTTACTAGAGCTTTATAATGTGATAATTAATCATCAGGGTATGAAGTAATAAGTGTTGAAAGAAGTTAATCCCCCTTTCAAGAATGATAAGTTCCAGAAGTTACTGAGTTCTTGGGCAGAGCACATGCGAAGTTGTGTGCATGTGATGAGATTTGAAAGTTGTTCCTGCATTCATGTGGTAATTTCGGCCAGAAAAACAGGTGGGAAGGATGAAGCAGTACGCTGGCGAGTATAAAACGCGCTCACAGAGCCCACAGTGCGCCTGCTGCAAGGAATCTCGACTTGTAAGCTCTTCCCGAAACCTCCAAGGGAGACCTCCTCGGCACGTTACGGCAGAAGGCACCGTGGCCACCGACGGCAGTGTGCGCCGACCCCCGCCGGGGTTCTCAAGGAAGGCCATGCCTGTGGCACAGGTCTGTCCCACGTCTTGAAGAAATATTTCATTCCTTCAAGACGTTTTATCTTCATTTCTGGCCCTGTTGACTCGGCCGTTAATTCAAGAAGAAAGAAATTAAACCGTCGAAGTTTAGCGTGCACCCCCCTCCCCCACCAGTTTTATTTTGAATTGCGCAACATTTATTTTCCCTTTTTTTATCGTTTCAAATTTGTTGCTTTTCATGGCTTTCTTAGTCTCTATCTTTTAGCCCTAGTTTTTGATACAACGAAAGGAAATATCTCTGTAACATGTGTTAAAAATTTTCAGGTAATTCATTTTTCGTTTGATTTTTTCTAGGGGGAGTGTGAAATTTGAATGTCTGGACTCGTTGCAAATTTGAATTTGTTTTTCTCTTGTTTATTTGACACACTTTCATTTGGTTTTCACACTTTAGAGTCCTTAGCACGTCTCAATTAGTTTGTTCACTGGCATGTTGTGTTTACAAAGGAGTTAGAATTGTTTACTGAGACGTTTTAAATTGGACAATTATAGTTTGTTTTGCGGTCAACACAAAGGAAAAGTCAATAGAGGTCAAATCAAACAGGTTTCGACTCGTGTCCGAAATTGTCCCCGCTTTTCAAAAACTGCTCTGTCCAACGTTTTCTAATTAATTTGGTGGTTTACTTCAGTTAGGCAAAGTTTGTTGACCAGAAAGACGAAGTACACACGATTATTTACCCAAATGTTTTGCAAAATCTCCTTTACCAAACATTTTCTTGGTATAAAAAGAGCCGCTGTTCGATATTGTTGCAAAATTGTCCGAAGTCGTCTGACAAACATTTTCAATTTTCCACACTTCAAGTTCAGTCAATGGACCTTTTTTTTCAGTGTCTTCGTTAAATTTTCCCGCCTTGAGCGGTAAAAATACGTTATTTCACAACTAGTAAGGCTGAAAATCCAGTAACATAAGAACAATTCGTCGCAAAATTGTCACAATTTTTATTTCTTGTCTGGAAAGTGTCTAGGTTTGTACCCACAACCCCCCCCCCCCACACACACACATGTTGACATCTGCTTTCAACTTTTCTCTTAAAACAAAGGGCTTATTCAAAACTTACATGCCCTTATCTCATAATTCAGAAGTTGTAGTTTATCTGATAGCCCGATCTTTGGCCTTCTTGACCCGTGAAATCTTGAAACAATCCCGATTTTCCGGACGATTTGTTTGATGTCTTGCCGATTTGGGGGCGTGAGGTTTGAACTTTCCCAGATGTTTTTTTCCTGTTTTTTTTCTGAGACAATTCTTCTTTCTGTTAAATAGAGCTTCAGTCAATATTAAATAGAAAACATAAAATTGGAACTTGAAGTTGTAGCTACTTTCCCCACCCAAGCAAGTGGAATTTTAAAAGTTTAATTTAATCATGGAGTTAGAAGGATTTAATACAAGTTACCACTAAAGAACATGTGCACATTGCTGTCTAAAATTACATCATGAAAACTATACATCATGAAAACTATATATCCTTAGAATTTAGCCTCCGAAGCATGACAAAAACTGGGGTTTTGGGGGGTCTTCATGGTCTTTTATGTGCTATTTTCTGATTGCATATAGACAACAGCCAGCCTGGTTGAATTACCCCCATTTTAGAACTGGACTAATCAGAAAACAGCCGAAGACCACCAAACCCCCAGTTCTATAAGCCTGCTATGGAGGCTACTTAAAATTACCAATTTAAGGTCTTTTAATACTAAAACTGTAAGGCAACATTTTAAATATCTTCAAAATATTGGTGGTACAATGTTCCAGAACTGCCATGTATCATATCTTTTTATATTTTCATTGTTGAGTAAAATTCTAACAATATAATAACTTTTTTCTTTCAATAGTCAACTCCTCTTCACTCCGATCATCACCAAGGTGATTCGGAGGACGCGTTGAGCATGCTCAGTCGTGGAAACGGGGGAGACAACTCGGATATTCTACAGCGTATAAACGCGATACTGGACAACACACTGGACCTCCATGGCACCAGTGCTAGTCCTGGGAAACTGGTCACTTCTTCAGGTAAAAATTCTTACTTAGGCCATACCAATTTAATTTCTTAGTTAACATATTTTTCTAGAAAAATAATGGAGCGGACGGGCGAAAAAAAGTAAAAATAAAAACAGGCCTAGGCATCCTATCATGGCCCAAATTGGTACGATAGGAGCCATGAAGTCAACACACCAGACTGGTTCAAAATTTTAAAAAATCAATTTTGAACTTTTAATGATATCACTGCATTGAAAGATGGAATAACTGTAACAACTAGGAAGAAAAGGACTGTTTTCAATTGTTCAGGGCAAAATATGAGCATTTTGCAGTTGAATTTTTTTTTTTTGCAAATCAGAAAAAAATGAAGCAGGCGAATCCGTTAACCAAGAAATTAAATTGGTGTGGCCTTAGGGGGGATCTTACTGAATTTTAGATGAGAGAGAGAGGTTTATTTGTGCCTTACACAAAGTACACATAAATTTAAAAGCCTGTAAGCAGCCATATTTGGCTGAATTGGAAAGGCTTTAGAATACAACACAAAATGCACTTATAGATTATCTATTTGTTAAAAATTCTTTACAAGTGATAAAAACCTACTCGTTACATATCTAGCTTACATTAAAATTTACCACACGTTAAAAATACAATGTCATATAAAAACAGTTGATTGAATGTTTCTTTCAGTTAAAATTACAGAAATAATGCAAAGTTATAATATGCAGGGTTGTATATGTGAAACTGATGTAGTGAATCATTTTTCACCATTCAAAAGCCTAACACAGTACGGCAGAGTAGTGTTCAAGAAACGGGACGTTCTGCACCTAAACTGGCTTACGTCGAGCAAATTTCTGAGATTTCTGCCATGTACATCAACCCGGCGTGAGGTAGCCAAGAGACAAAGTCAGACTTAACTAATGATTTATCAAACTTAATGCAGTGAGCTCTGCGTCGCTCATCTAGAGAAGTTAGGCCACACAGACAAAGTGCATTACTATAGTTGGTGTACATGCTACCCAGAATGATTTTACATGCCCTAACTTGAACTTTCTCAATCTTCCCTGATTGCTCCTTCAACAGATCCATGTAATTTGCTGATAAATGGGTTTGGTAGTTGAAAAAAAAGAATGAGACTGAAGTCAACAAGATAGCGTAAATGATTGAAAGGAACAAAGAAGAAAATGAGATTTTTGGAAATGACTTATTTTCAGAGTTTGTGTTTTTTGTTTCCTCAGGTCCAGACATGCCTACCTCCAGTGCCAGTAACCCAGTACTGACTGACGCTATGGCAAGTCTCTCACTCTCTGACGTGTCCAGTAACTGTAAGTGTGGTACTTTTCTTCTTGCTCTTTAATTATTTTAGTCTGTAGAAATGTTTGGATGCTCTCTCTCTCTCTCTCTCTCCCTCTCTCCCTCTCTC